TTAAATATTTATTAGGTTTGTTATATTATTAAAAGCTTTTCTAAATAAGAAATGAAATAATATTAATATATATTTATAAATAAAACTCTTATATATACTTTGCCTACTTTTGTTTAAACATATCATTTCTATTCTCTTATCTATATATAGATCTTCTTAATATTATTCAAAAGTATTATCTCTTTTCTTACTTTTAATTTCTTGATTATAAATTATAATTTGATGAATCTTATAATTGTAGAACTTTATAATGAAATGACTTATTAACGAGATGAAATCTCGTTTTTATACTTTTTAATTCTTGAGTATGTTTTTATTGTTTAAATGCTTTCTCAATTGAAATCCTTTTTTTTAATATTAAAAAGTTTAATAATAACTTTCAGAAATTTAATATATAATTATCCTTAATTTAAATAAAACTATAAATAAATAGTATTGTAATTGATAACTCTACTACTCAATTTTATTATATTTATTTTAATCTTAAATCTTATATATAAGCTATAGTATTATCTCAACTTTTTTTTTTAATTAAAATATTCTTTTAAATTATAAAATAATTCTAAATTAATTTACATATATCTATAATAATTTAAATAAAATATAAAAAGCTAAAGATAAATTATTCAAATTTAAATAACAATTTTATATCTTTTCTTTTTATTTCATTAATTCCTAAAAGGTTATATATTAAATTTGAAACTTGTTAATCTATAAATTTAATAATGATATAATGAAATGATATAATGAAATGATATAATGAAATGATAATATTTCGTTCTATTATATACTAGTTGAGATATCAATATATAAAATGATAACATTCGGGGTTTTTATTGATAAATATATAAAGAATTAATTTTTTAATTAGAATTTAAGAAATTCAATAAAATAAATTATTTTAAATTATCTTTAAAATTGAAATTAAAATTCAATTTAATAGTATTTCAATAATAGGAGGGTTAGTGTTAAAGCTTGATTATTGTAACAAAATCAATTGGAAAATTATTAAATTAAATTATAATTTTGATTTTAGAGATAATCTAAAATAATTTATTTTGTTGAATTTCTTGAATTCTAATTAATAATTTTATCTCTTTTCTTTTTATTTTATTAATTCTTAAAAGGTTGTATATTAGATTAAAAGATTAATAAGTATTACAAAATGCTAATTGAGATTACTTTAGTTATAAATCTAATATTTGAGATATCAATACATAGAATGATGATATTCGGGGTTTTTATTGTATATTTATATTATAAAATTTGAAAGAACTTTTTATGAAACAAAAGATTAGAATTAATCCAATTCGAATAAAATCTCAATCTTTTGTAATAAACTTAATACTACTTTTAGAAATTATCTTTTTTAATAACTTTCGTTATTCCACTTATATTTCAACTTTGTTCAGGTTATATAACAATTAGTTGTATATATAGTAAATAGATTCCTTATATTATCCCACTTTAATAAACTTAGAATCTTATATCTATTACAGAATCCATTCTACTCTCAAAACTATAATTCAATGAATATTAATAATCTTAATGTCCTTAATACTTTTAACATTCCTATAAACAAAGCCAATCATACACTAATCCCACTTTATATTAGAATGCCCAAATTCTTCTTTACTAAAAGAACTTAATTATATAAAGAAAACAAATATATTTAATATAAAAATACTTTTTATTAAATATAAATCTATCTGTTTAATTTATATTAAAATATTTGAGATTGAAAAGAACTTGTTTTAACTGTTATACTTATTTCTACTAACTTTTATAATAATAATAATAATAATAAGGATTTAAATAAAATAGTTAATAACCAATATTTTGAAGATTGCTTAGAAGAAATATAAGCTTTTGTCAACATTTTTTATTTGATAATAATATATTTAATCTTTTAAAATATTTTATAAAAAATTAATAAAGAAAATGATAACAATAATAATAAAAAAGAGTTTTATTAATTATATGTTATATTTAAGTTATTTATTTAAAGTAAGTTTGAGGCAAACTTTTCAAAAGGGGGGGGTAGTGTCACGGTATATATATGATCGTATTCAATCGGACTAATATGATACTAAGCTTCAAGTCAATTACATATATAGCTCTATAGCACACTCTCTTTAATTCTATAGCTTTTAATTCTAAGGTTGATCTTTAAACGTTTATTAGGTTCGTCATAATATTACAATTAAAATTAAGGTGTCAGACTTCTAATTTATAATATCATTAATTAGTATTAGTATTATTATAGGGATGGTAAAGTCAATATAGTATTATGATTTACACTATTGTTATATTGCTTGAGGTTTTAAAAGCTAGGGCTACAAAACGTATTTGCTGTAGTGTTGGAAGACGCTAGCGTCAACGCTAGCGTGGTCACATGATCCCTGTCCCAACAATAACTTTGTCTTTTTTGATTTAAAGAAAGCTCGAGAGGATCTCAGAAGTCGCTTAATACGATTAGCTTATCTCAGACTCATATTACGAATTTACTACACAGTATAATAAATATCATCATATCTTAAAAATCAATGTCTCATATAACCAGCAATCTTATTTTATTCCTCCTCTCGAGCTGAATAAATCGAATATATGATATGATAGTTGAATTGAAGTCAAATTATAAGAATAAGCTGAATCGAGCTGGATTTGCTTCCTTTTTCTAGATTTTCTTTTGAAAAAAAAACCTAGAAAAAGTAAGTAAATCCAAATCAATTCAAGCTCTCTTTTATAATTTGATTTTAATTCAACTCTTATACTATATATTCGATTTATCCCTAAAGCTAAAGTGACTATATCTTCTATTAATATTAGAATACTAATATTATTATTATTGTTCTAAAACTAACCTCCAAGATGCAAGTCACAGCCATTGACAAGCGTGTGAAAGCCGTCATCAGCCAGGTAAGCTTTCTGAGTTCCCAAAAGAAAGAATTCTGAACTAATGTTTCTTCTAAGGCGTCTATGGTCAGTGGCTGGAAAACTCTCTTTCGTCTCATTTCCCGATCTTATTCCTGGAATCAACACAATGTTCACAGGTGACCGCCTCGCCAGAGCTGCAGGACAAGCTGCAGCAACGATCCCTGTATCAGACGTTAACCCTCTGGTTCCTACTTCCCTAAAAAGTGCCGAAGCTTTTGCATTCTACACTAAGTGGGAGTCAAAGCTTGAGGGGAAGTGGAAGAATGAGGTGATGGTTCGAAGTCTTGAAGCTAGCCATTCATATGATCCTGCTCTGTTCATTGAACGCATAGCACCTGTAACATTCATTGCTTGTGGTAGTTGTAAGGGAGGATGTCACCCCGCCAGTTGATGTCTCGCTAGCTGCCTATCATAAGGCTCGCGATCCCAAGCAGCTTGTATTACTTCTAGGTGGGCACTTTGAGGTGTATTCGGGCCCAAACTTTGCTCTTACTTCCTCCAAGCAGGTTGAGTTCTTGCAGGAGAACTCTTTATAATTGACTGTTAAGTGATTCAAGACATCCAGGACCGAGAAAGGATTAGATGATGAAGGCTGTTAGGTAGATTCATTCACATATTCATTTCGTATCTCTATAGTTTAGAAGTTTGTAAGCGATCTTATAAATTGAAAACTTAGATGAGATCAATGTATTAAAATGAGTCATTTAATGAGATCAAACACTGCCACTGAGCTTTTTTGAGGAAAAAAGTGCCAAATCCAGTAAGTTTACGAATTGCATACAAATTATGAGTCGGAATTTAAATCATTTATATATCTCTTTATGGAAATCGCTAAAAGTCTGAAACTTTCAGATTGTACTTTTACTTATACTATAATAACATTAACGAAATTTTAATAATCTATATTCATAAGTAAGAATATCAAGAATATCATTTTTCAATAATTTGAGTAAGGAAAGTAGTCGGAAACAAAGGAGGGGGGGTTGTCGGAAACTAAGCGCTTTGACTTATGAATGAGGAATTCTTCTCGAGGAGTTGCTCGCTTATGAAAGTGGTTGCTCCATCAAGGGATTTAGAATTTTGAATAGTTTGTTAAATGCTTTGTGTCGCGCTTGGTCCGGCAGAGGTGCGTTGGATGACGATTCTAAAGATTGGCGGACTTGGACAAATGAGAATTCGGTAACAGGTAGGGAAGCGGCTTTTGAAAGTGCACGAAGATCCAACCATAATTTGACTTCGATCAGCATCCTCTGGTTATCGCATGATAGCACCTGAAAGAGCCTGGAGCAAGGTGTTAAGCGCTACAGGCTTCATGCACTTTCTTCAACGTAACTGGCTCCTCGACTTTAAATACATCGGCAAGTATAGAAGATCCAAAAAAAAAATTGTTTAACAACTCTCCTCAAAATGATATTGAGCTACAACAAGCAGATCAGATATCTAATTTAGTTCTATTTACTAACAATCTATCAGCATTTCTACTAAAGAGATATATAAGACGAATTACTATCGAATCGAAGATTGAAATATTAAAATGCTATTTTTCGAAAGGAAATTCAAGAATATAAAGAATAATTTGAGATAAAAGAAACAAAAAAATAAAAGAGAACAAAATTAAAAAGTGGTTTTGTATTTAGTACTAAAGAAGTATTGAAAATCATTGAGGAGGCTGAACAGACATCTTTTCTAAACGACGACGCGGGAGATCATAAAAGCGTCAACTTGATTGGGTAGAAGAGGAAATGGAAGAAGAAGAGGATATTGATAGTTCCATTGGACCAGTATTAGTTGTCAATCACGCTGTAGCATATAGGATAAGGACAACTAGAAATTTGATTTTTGTGACTCATATCATGATATGATTTATTCTAGTCAATTCACGTTATAATAAGATGAAGACTCGAACTCTCCCTCCCGGCGGCTTCCATTGACGCAAGAACGATCTACACGATAAGCAATACCCTTGAACCCGATGTATCGCGGCATCAGAAATACGTACCTTGTTTTGGGTGATTGGCCTGGAAATATAAGAAACCCAGTATTCACATCTAATTCTTCAATACTTATTCTTCGGCTTCGGCAACTCCAAGGACATTTCCTCCGTCTGGGTCATCAGCTTTCTGGCCCTCCGGAGGTTTCCCTACTTCAGTTTCCTTCTGAACCTTCTTAGCCTCGTCCAAAGTCATCTCAACCACCGGTTTGGGCTTAGCATTAAGTTTCCCAACGATCACGTCCGTCCCTGGGGCAAGCCACCTCGGGTCAATAAATGCCTCCCTCATCTCAGCAAAGCCCTTTTTCATGTCTTCCTTAAATGAATCTGTAAGCTTAACTGCGGGGCACCAAAGGCTAAGTTCATCCCAGAATGCCTCCTCATCTTTGATTGCGGTCCAAGTCAGGGAGAACGCGATGGCCATAAAGGGACCTGGGCCAGGTATAAACCCAATAGCGAACACCATTGCGTTCTTGGTGAAATTTTCTATCCAGAAACTTTTTTCGACAGACTTCCACATCAAGTCAATCCCGTTATGGGCTTTCTGGATAGCTAGCCAACTAATGTCATCTGCATCCCTGTAAGACTTGTTCACTGGTACCGTCTTGACCCAATTGTCAGGAACAATTCTAACAAGCTTTCCTGAATAAGGGTTAACTTTGCGGAACTGGCGGGGAATAGTGAGCAGCTCCACAAGCCCAGTGAAGTCTAGTCCAAGGGTCCGATCCTTCTTCACGCCGAAACCTAACAACTTGTCGGTCTTATACTCCTCAGTTACCCCACCAGCGCGCCAGACAGGCACGGTTCGATCAGTGGCGAAGTTAATCTGCACCCAAGTACTGAGGTCCGGGTAGTCTTCTGATGCCGAATAGGCGATTGGAATATATATTGCGCGAATATTTGCCAGCAGCTGCAGTATTTACAAGAAAATTAGAAAGGCCGAATGTAAGTAGACGGGAAAATAGGAGCATACTAACATCAATCCAAACCCATCTCTCAGCTCTTGTAGGCATTGGCAAGACCATGAAGAAGAACTTATCAGGATGTCAGTGAATGTACAAAACTACTCTCCTACAGGATCCCTGAAGCTTACCTCTGCAGAGTCTCCCCATTCATAATTGCGAAAGCGATTACCACTCGTGCAGAGATTGTGTTCAACGCGTCTCTTGATGTCTCCCTGCTCTGGACCATAGCTAATAGGAAGCTGTGTCCAGTTACCGTAGTGCGTTTCCCATTTATCCCCTTTCGAGATTTTGTATCCGGAGCGGCGATGCTTGTGACCTACGCCAGGCTTAAGCACAGGTATCTGGATTCCAAGAACGGATTGGTAACCGATTGCGACGGAGTTCGCGTTTTTGCTGCCATGGTATGCTTCGACATTCCACACGTATTCGATCATAAAGTGAGAATAGAAATCTTTCTGGTTGTCGGCACGATAGCCATCCTTCGAACGTTGTGCAAGAACCTTTCGGTCAAAGAAGACTTCGCCTTCTGGGTATGGTACAGCCATTTTCGCAACTTTGCAAGGTAGAATATGGGGGAAAAGATCAGAAAGATTCTATCTATTCGATGAAATTCTATCGACAAGATGGGAGATGCTGAGAGATAACGGGCATTCTTATAGTTTTTCAGGTATTGAGAGTCCATAACGGACATGTAGGCCAGCGAGCCCATAGTGATTACATATCCCTACATCGAATAACATCGAAATCATCCAGCGATTTTTGATATTTTCTGAGTCAGAAAGCCAGCAGATAGGGTGAGCTATCTCAACGGGAGGGATAGAAGTGCTTGTTGTTAACTGCTGCAGCGAGCTAAAATATACTGCGTAATGCAGTTAGCACAGCATATAAGATGCGGCCTACGCAAGTCAGGGAGAAATTGGTGAGGGAATGGAGCAAGCTGAACCGAGAGGGGGATACGATAGAAAGGGTTTATAGCTTAGGAGCGCAGGAGGGAGAGCGAGGGGAGTGCAGCTAATCATGCAGTTTTATATTCGAGAATTGTTATGGTTGCGCCAAGAGGTAATTTCGTAATAGGTGATGCTGGAATTAAGTTATCAGTTAGCTAGGGTTCTACGAAGTGATCTCTGGACCCCCCACCCCCCTTTTCTAGAGGGGTCCTGGGCTCCTTTTAGCGGGGATAGCAGAGTCGGGGCGATCCGCCCCCGGGACAGCTATGACTACGTGGCCCTTCTTGTGTGGGGAAGCAATTGAAATAGCGACACGCTAAAGAAACTAAAGTGGTTCAAGTACTGTTCAATAACCCCTTGCAAGAAAAAGTAAATTGAGAACTTTTTTTCTACTTGTGCTATAGGGCATCGCTATAAGCCTCTGATCACCAAACTATAGATAGGAATTTTCTGGGCTTTTAGAGCTTATGTTAATATAATCAATGACTATTATATTATTCTATGTAGGGCATTCAGTCAACTAGATTTATTCTCTGACGTAATTTTCTTAACTTGAATGATTGAGCAATGTGATTCGTTAATCCAATTGAAAAAGCCATTGTAGCATACTTTTGCTTGCTATACTCGAATATCTGTTTTACATAGGGTGTGAATTGTAGCATTAAATTGGACTTAGACGAAAAAATTGCAAGTGCATTACACTAGAGCTCATGGGGGTGATTTGCTTCTGTCGCAAGCGAGAATCCAACAACAACTATCATCAATCCCGATGGGGTTCGGCAGCCAGCGTCATATCTTAAGCATAGTATGGTTAACAAAGTTCAATTTTTCGATTGGAAAACCTTGAGATTCTCTAACGTCTAGCGAGGCACACCGTAGATAGAAAAACTAGCACACCAAACTCGTCAAAATCGAAAGTATTGTGAATATAGTCTTATTCTGAAATTCAATAATAAATCAAAAGAATATCATTAGCTCTACAAATTAAAGAAGAATCAAAGATTTATAAGCTTTTCATTATTCATTAAAGAAATTTATACAGAAATATTGATAATTTGATTTAATAGAGAGTTTTGAAGTTGTAGTACATTTTTAGTCTAATAGTTTTTTTCGTTCACGATATGCGAGGGGTATTAAATTATACTCGATTTCATAATTAGCTTTCAAAACATAACTTTTCTATACTTCATTAAAAACATTTAAATATTATCTTTCTATTATCACTTATTTTATAATAACTTTATTAATTTAATATCAATTTCAATAAAATTAATATTTTATAATAAATAATAATTAAATCTATTATATGTTTAATTTTCAGTTAATTTAGAATTATATTAATTGAAATAGAAATTCAAAAGTTAAAATTGAAGAATTGAAGGTTTTTTTTAAAAAAAAATTAATGAAAAAAATCTTCAAAATATTTTATTATTTTAAAATCATTATTATTTCATCTATATTATTTTTAAATCAATTTAAATCAATTTAAATTGATTCAATAAAATAATAACTTTTATTTAACATAAAGGTTTTTGATTTTGAAGTTATATTGATAAAGTTAGGATTTTATAATTGATTGATTTCAGCTAAAAGGTTATGAGATCATAAAATCACGTTTTGAAAGCTAGTTATGAAATCGGGTGTAGAGGATATGTACTATGTGTGGCAGCAGATGTCATGTACATAATGAAGGATACCGCTGGCTACGCATGCATACTGGAATGGAATGATCGACACCATGATCAACTGCGGTCTTTCCTTCGTTTCTAACTGGTCACCATGTAGAGAAATGGTTAAAGAATAGTGATATAGTAATTACTGTAAGTCTTTTGCAGACTCCTGAAGTATACGGAGGTGTATGCCCTGATTTTTGTCTCCCCGCTTTTGAAGTCACGAACTAATTTGTAGGGGCAGAATAATCTGAAATTCAAGGCGGTGAGACGAAAATTAGGGCTTGTACCTCCGTAAATTCGTCTCATGACAGGGCGTATCCCCTGACTCAAGGGATAGACGTCGATTGCCGCAGCCAACGAGGCTCAGTAGCTCCGGAAATGGCTTTTATTGTACGAAGTAGTATGCTGCTGAAACTTCAGCTGGTTATGCACTGTAACGCTCGCGTAATGAAAAAAAGAAAGGATTATCAGCATTGAAAACGTAAGAGATTGTACTCTTTCACTCTTTCTTAAGGCCACACCCCTGAACTAATCTTTGTTTAGGTTGTTGAGAAACATCAATCATTATCCTTCAATTATAACTTGGTGAGAATGTTAATATATCATATTGGCTTAAAAGTACAAAGCCATATGCATTTGCAGTTCCGCATATGCGGGGTTGAGCGGATGTGGTCAAATTTTACCCCTCATATCACTGAATATCTACAAGATGCATGCGTGTCTTACTTGCGTTGAATGGAACCTTACGCAGCAATCTAGATCTCCTATCATATGCCCGGCGAGGAAAGCGAACGTAGTATTTCTACTGGGCGGCTCTTCAACCTCGAGTCAGCTCAGCGTGAGCAAACATAATGTGACCCTTCCCAGGTACACATCCTCTCAAATTAACCATTCGATTATACCTATGATTCCTCGCCAGAATCTGTAACCATGCGGTGGTTCTATCCTTACAGCAGTGATCCACTGTCAGGTGAAGGTAGGTGTTATGACATTGTTGTTATTGGATCTTCAAAGGTTCTTGCAATAGTAAATCCTTCGGGTCAAGTGCTCTAGTATCCCGATAGTTACCTGTCCACCCTATCTCTTGTTGCATATCCGCAGGGTGCAGTGCAAAAATGCGGTGTTTAGGGATGCACCCATGTCGCTAGGTACATTCACATGCAAACCTGAGTTCTGTGAATTAAACGACTCTTCCACAACCACGTCGAGGTTTCGTTGATTAGTGTTGAAAGGATAAAAGAATATTTCCTGAGGTGCTGGTGTATATGGGTACTCACTGTAGGTTGGTTATATTCGATGGACTCTGGCCAGGTGGGGACCGGCCGTCACACAGGCTCGCTGAGAGACAGTGCAGGTGCAGAACTGTAATAGTTACGTCAAGGGCCAATTGCCAAGCTTTGACAATTAATCAGAAAAGTATGTCTCAAGTACTATCATTTTTTATGGCGGCCCATTTTCTACTGTGTTCGCGAGATGAGCAGACAAGTCGCTGAGATCCTCCCTCAAACCTGGATGAAGGAAGTCGATGTAGTCTAAAAAAGGGTCAACCTGATGCCGAGGAATTAATAAAGACTGAATCTTAATCAGCTGAACATATCAACGAGCTTAGCTAGAAGGCAACTAACTTTTCAGCTTCTTTGGAAGCAGAAGTATAATTCCAATCCCATAGCGCTTGTCAATCTTAGCAAGGAACCTACCTGACTTTAAGCAGTACTCGAGTTTTCCTTTAGCCTTCTTCCGCGGGCAATTCTCTTTCTTTTTGCTCTACTGCTCACCCTCACACGTTATTGTTTCTGGGAAGAGGATATCAGTATATCTATTCTTGATCGATAAGACGAGCAAATCATCGTTACTTTTCGGTTTAGGATCGGCCTTTCTGGCCGCAATCTCCTCTTTATACTTATGTGCTAATTCCACTAGATATACTCTCTTTAATACACGTGCCACTATTTTCATATTCTTGGAGGATTTCTCTGTTTTCTCCTGCGTAATAATAACAACCTTGAGTTCCTTGAGTCTTTGATCTGACTATCGATAGACTGGGATCAATCTCATTCCACTGAATGTATCCTCCTGGGCCTGAACTGATTTCTTAGTCGTTCTCCATTTTCCAAAAGATCTATCCTACGTAGTGACTTTAGTGCATGTGTAAGAATTGCTTTCGGGTCCCCGTTAGGTAAAACACCGAACAAGAGACGTAGTTGGACGATGCGAAAGTCCCTTGCAACTCTTTTGGGGGCTCTGGTTCAAGGCTATTCAGGCTCTACATAGTTAAGCGAAATAAGAGGCGGAAGTTGAGTATCATTCAGAAGGACTTTGATAATTCAAATCTCTCTTCCATATTATATTAAATACATATAGTTCTCACTGTTGATGTAAAGAAGGCTCAATTTTTCGTTTGGTATTTTCAGAATCTAGTATTTGATTTGAAATGAATTTATAATTTATTCAAGAAGTTCTTTGAAAGAGGACTCAATTCCCGCCTCTTGTTTCGCTTACGTAGAGTCAGGACTTCTAATTTCACATTGTGGGGTAATTATCTGACATGTGGGTACTGGGAGTCGGAAACATCGAAACCATATAGCTGCATGGTATCTGGCACCTGTCTAGCAAGATTTAGTGGCCAGATTCTATCCGCGTGAGATTAAATATTGAAGTTCTGCAAAGATACACGGCATCGTAGCTGAGAATATGGCCATACACAATGCTAGCTTCAAGATCTGCGTTTCGATAATTCTTATTCGTCAGAGGCATTGAGGAGTGTATCAGATAGCCTAAGTTATCTTTCCAGAGGGAACGCTGTAGATTGAGTCTACTCATTTTTCAGCACGACTTTCTTGCGTCACATACAATTTCGTTGGATTCCAATTGTCGTACTCAATGAATGGAGGCGTTCATTTCCGAACCAACAGATAGCCCGGTTATTCCATTGCTCAAGGTAATTTGCATTCTATTGAGAGACTTTTGAGTACAAGTGATGATTATGAGAATTCTACACGCTGCTTTCGAAGAAGTGCAAGCTAGACGGAAGGAGGGGGGTCTTCACTTATATTCTAAGCATCCTGCCCGAATTCACATTAATAGTTGCTTCGCCCTACTATAAGTTGATTTCTTGACGCATAATGCAAATTATCTCGCTTGTCATATTGGTACGATAGATGCTTCGCCACACGATCCGAATCATGTCAGACCAGCGGATAGCCAGCCAACCGCATTTGTCATATGAACCGTCTTCGGCCGCAATCGTGCAGGCAGAACGGCGGTGTAATCAGCAAATTGAGAGCGACGAGGCAAAGCAACAAACCCCGGGGACTTTTTGAAAAGCGAAATGAACGTCGAAGAGCCCCTTAACTGTATCTTATCGGGTTAACATGCATTATCGGATACTATTTCCCTTCCCATTAAGGAAGATTGCAATGGCACATGTTACTTTATATACTCCTTATGGCGCCAGTACTCTGTGTTCCTGATCATGTTTCAATCTTTTCCAATATATCCACTAGTTTAAATCTCTCTGAAGATTTCGAGTCGGAATGAGTAGCTCCAAAAGTTCAACCTCTTCAGACAAAAGTGTTGATATGACTGATCTAGAGAACGGCTCTTTTCATAAGCTACATCGAAGATAGAATCTTTTAACGGGGAAAAGTCCACCGAGCACAAACCAACCGCGCCGAAACAAGAGATCACATATATCAAAGGATGGAGGTTCCGTCTTCTAAGTTTCACGTGAGTGCAGAGAACCATCTTCAAAAGAGAGACTGTTTCTCCATTTTGTCCGATAAGTGCTCAACGGAGCCGGAATGAAGTGCTTCTCCCATGGTCTACTCCGTCTTAATAGCGTATATTCTCCTAAGTACCTATCTTATGACCAAGTGTAATAGCGATCCAAATCCGTTAGGATCGAAAGCTCAATTGCTAGAGTATGCTTTCTGCTAGCGAAGGGACAGAAACCTAACGACGAGAGCGATGATAAGTTTGAAGGTTTCACTAATCCACAAAAATTGAGCGGCTTCGTCGATGAAGTTAACAGAGAGAGTAGAAGAGAACTGAGGTTCGTACAGGGACAGATTGAATATTGCGTAGAGGCAATACAGTTATAAAATGAAGTCCAGCAATGGGATGACTTAGCTCAGTTTCGGAGTTCTCATTTCAGCCCACGAACCGATGACGAACCGATGACAAGCCGACACAGGAGTCATTCCCTGAATCCCTTCATAACTTCGGACTTTACCATCAGATCAGGGAAACCTCACGAAAAACGGTACACAAGGCACCTGTTCTTGTCGTTTTCGGTCTAAACCCGATGGAGAACGTGTAGACGCTTCCGTTCGCTGACTGATAAGAATCCTTGCCCAAGTGGTCGAGAATTTCTTTCGCAATAGATCGACAGCAGTCACCCATTGCTGCCTGTCTAGATAACAGATCCCTGTTTAGCGCAGTCACCCAGATTGTTGGAATGTACTTCTAAAGCCCTAAGTCCCCCGCTTTATTTTGTAATGTCTCTTTTCCTGCCTGCTCTCTCAGCAGTTGAATAGACACAATTTGCGTAAACTCTTAAATTGCTCGACACTAATGGCTTCTATCGACGTGATCTCAGTCCCCATCTTAGCTTTAGTCGAGCCGCAAAAATTACCGAGCAATGGGCCTAATCCTGCGTCGGGAAGCAAGAATGAAAAGTTCGCAGAACAGCCATTGGAAGTTCCCATCACAGACAGCAATTCAGATACAGTCCTCGTGGACTATGAGGAGAACGACCCAGAAAACCCATTGAATTGGTCGTCAACGCGAAAATGACTAATTGTGTTCGCTGTCTCGTGGATGGGTTTCGTCAGGTGAGTTTTTCTCTTCCTAGGATTTTTACATCTGTCGCCGTTGACTGACCTAATTTGTGTCTTTTCAACAATGACGATCACGCCCACAGTACCACAGATCTTGGAGGGATTTCATTCACACAGTCCATTTGACCAGACATTACTTGTCACAATTTGGGAGCTTGGGGAAGGGATTGGTCCCTTTTTTATTGCACCGCTCTCTGAAAGATTCGGCCGGCTTCTCGTCTTCCACGTTGGAAATTTCCCCGCTCTTTGTTGCTTGGTCGCCACCGCCCTGAGTGTGAATATTCTCAAGGTGATTGCGTTCCGATTCTTAACGGGCTGCTGCCTGTCAATTCTCACCCTTGGGCCCGCGATTGTCAGAGATTTGTTCCACATGGAACACACCGGTGTGACCACGGCATCGGTCATGGGAAATCAGATGATAGCAGATTTCATCTCACCTGTCGCAGGATCATATATCGCACAGGATCTAGGTTGGCGATGGTCGATTTGGCTAGCGGCCATCGTGCTCGGATTCTTTAGCTTTCTCTTACTGGTCGTGTCCCGGGAAACGTACGCAGCTGTCATTCTGAAGCGGAAGGCAAAGCGATTACAAAAGAAGAGCATGGATGGCAAACAGTATCGTTCCAAACATTAGGCGCGCGTTGATGCAACCACCATTATCGAAAGCGTTATGAAGCCGTTGCACATCGCGGATCAAGATTGTAGATTATAATAGCTTGTGTCTAAGTACAACGATTTGACTATCCAAAACAGCATCTTTGGGTGCGGTTTTGTACCGACTCAATCACTAACCAAACGGCTCATATTACGAGGAGTTGTCGTTCATAACTAGGTATCAAGGTATTTGTGAAGAGCTGTCGCAAAAGAACTCAATTCTAGTATAGAATCTAAAGCTAAGTTGGAAGAAAGAATATATATAGGAGCTCTGACTAGTTATGTATATGAAGATATGATTATGTAATATACTCTTCTAGTATATCTTAATAAACAGATGAAGAAAGGGAATCAGGGAAAAGATCGAATCACTATATAATTGAGCCACAATTAAATCATCAGAAGTGAGTCATTCTGTTGTATATAATTCAAAAGCTTTGTGATTATTATGAAGCTAGTCTTTGTGAAGACTATCTAACTTAAAGTATTGGAAATAAGCCAATACATGACAATTCTCCTGTGTATAGAGTCTAAAGCTCTCTCCTCCTCCTCTTCCTCCTCCTCTTCTATTCTTCTTTTCCCCTTAACCTTAAATTCAAAGTCAAGAATTGAATCCTTCTACAATCATCCCTTAGATCAATTAATTATTACATCAGTATGTGTACGATTTAGACAGACCTCATATCTCTCCTCTCCCTTTCCTTTTCTTTCCTTTCCCTTCTCTTCTCTATCTAACTTTCGATTCCAAACAATAGAATCAAAACTTCTTTCAATACTCCTTTACAGAAAGTATGATTTATCCGATCGAGATCTCCATCATTTACATGATCAAGTTCTACTTTGGAGATCACAAGTCAAATTAGGTTATATATTAACAATCACTCACTTACTTCAACCTCAATAAAACGGGCTTGTGGTTTAGTGGTATAATGTTCCCTTAGCATGGGAGAGGTCCGGCGTTCGATTCGCCGCTAGTCCAAATTCTTTTTGCCTTTATTTTTCATCCCCCAAATCTGCTCATCCCCCTTTTGCATCTCTCATTTTTTCCGATCATTTTATATATAATTTCAATGTCATTACAAGGATGTGAAGTTTGACTTTTTTTGGTGATGCAGTGGTCAGGAATAATCTGCCGTTGCGTGATGTGGGGTAAAAATCACTTTTGTGGGGGCGCGTGGGCTTCGCTTATAGTTTTGGGTCTCCCTCTCCTATGTATGTATCATTTTGATAATCGAATGTGTGGTGTGAGATTTTCTTTTTGGGGCGGAAATAACGATAACATGTCATCATTATATAAGATGGTTTTATATAAGATGGTTTTATATAAGATGGTTTTATATTACCAAAGTAAGGGAGATTGGAGATACAGAATCTCATGCAATCATAATTCAAAACTCCTCTCTTCAAGCCATCGTTAGCCGATTTTAACCTCAATATTTGGATTCTACTTCATGACGGGAGAGACCTTCACGTACATTATTATTTGGACGCATTTTCTAGCCCCCCCCCCCATCCCCCCTCCCCCAAAAAAAGTTTGTTGCTCGATACGGTGGAAGCGATATCACGATTTTTGTGGGCATACTTCTCGACTACAGCTTTTGAGGTGTGCTGTTTTTTAACTCATGTCTTACGAGACACCTGGTATTGGTTGCGATCTTTTGCATGTGTCGTTCACGCACATAGGGGCACATGTAGCATATTGAAAAACAATAGCATTGAGTGAAATCTCGTTTCCATCATGCTTTTCATATTGTTCATAGCTCAGGGTAATTTACACACTATATACATACTACACACTTTTTGACATCTTCCCAAAATTATCTCCATGGCCAGTTGTTCGACCTTCATTATCCACTCCTTTGAATGTTTCTTCATGTCAAATCTGTAGAATCTCAACTCAAAATCTCATGCCTCAGAATGCTCTTCTTATCCTTTGCCGAACATAAAGCACATATAATAAAATGCAACTGCTCATCCCCTCAATTCACCCATCGTACTGAGATCATTCACCTTTCTTCTTTACTCACCTCTCCTTCTCTAGTTTCTCAACCCCCCCCACCTCTCCATTCCCCAACTCGTACTATCATCCGAATCAAAAACTTCCTATCACTGACGTAATTTGGTAAAGAAAATAATCAATAATGCGACAAGACCAATAGCAATAACACACATCCAACAAGCTAACAGTAACCATGCATATCTCTTTTGTTTTAGTGCAAAAGATGAAAAATCCCCATTTGTCCACCAAACAATGATTCCATCCATTCGACCAGTTGCATACAATAATAAAATTGGAGGAAATAGATTACACAGGGCTAATACCATGATTGAGATGTCTCTCTTGCGACGAGCTTCAACAATGATATGAGCAGGGTTTTGAGACCAAGGAGATAGTTTGGGATTTTCGAATAGATGCTTCCATGTATTTCCTTTCGAATCACGAGGACTTTCACCAAGTACAGGTTGGGATTCGAAAAAACCATCGGATATTGCAGCATTTCGGATTTCCTCTAATTGACGAGGACTGTACAAATCTTGCCAGCTTGGACGCTTGGGAGGAGCAAGAGGTGATCGATAAATGAAGTCATTCGGGTTATCACTTTCAGCACCTCGATCCTTGTTGAGACGAATGGGTGTTGAAGGTTGCTTAAAAATCGGACGATTTTCGGTGTTTGAAGGTGTGTTGGTAGTAGATGCCAATAGTGCCAAAGGTCGAAGGGTATTTGTTGGATACTCCCTTGTTTTATTATTCTGAGCAGGAATTTTAGCAGGTCTGTTTGCTTGCATCAAACTAACACGCCTTGGTTCATGCTTCGAGTTCAAATGTAAATCCCTATAGAAGGCACCTGGAGGACCTTTGATGAAAGGCTTTTGACCTTGAGGCTTTGAACTACCGGTAGCCTTCAGTTCGATGTTAATCTCCTTATGTTTGCTGCTGGTACTTGATGTTGTCGCAAATAGTTCTTTCTTCGGACTAACGATCTTCTCACCAAGGGCCAACACATATTGCCACGAACTTGAACGTTTTTTGTTCAATGGTGGTATATCATCACTGGAACCACCCAAAGCAAGCCCTGGCTCCAACTCACCTGTCCAGTCAAATCTTAAGCGATCATCTACATGAGCTTTATTTCCAGAAGGGATTTGCCGACCTTGGTTTGAATTTGTAAAGTCTGCACTTTCCTCACTTGTGTGTAAGGATGGCGGAAACAACTTGAGGTTTTGGCCACGAGGTGGTTTCATCTTTGGCGGAGGAGATTTGAATGGATTGGTATGAGTTTTGAGAAGCGGTTGTGGATTGTAGTTGTAATAATTCGGAGGTGGCCGTGTCCTATTTGAATCTGCAAGATATCCATTGACCTTATGTTCTCTGAAAACAGGCAAAAACACAGGAATGTGAGTCTTCTTTAGATCTCTCTGACGATAATCTCCATAATATTCAACATTGCCTGGGTGATGTGCAATACGGTCCGACGATCCATACTCATCAATATGTAGTGGCTCCGTACTATCTGTGCCATCATCTGAATTATCTGCAATGCTACTTCCAGCTCGGTTTACAAGACCTCCCATCATCATTGGTTCGTTTGGTTTGGAACGGCCAAAAGGTCCTCCAGCACTATCTGCCACAGTTTCCCAATCTTCGGCCTCAGTAGGTGTGGTAAGTTTCTCGGACGATTCATGAGGTCGATTATTAGGGGATTCTGGAGGAGAATCTGGAAGTTTAACACTGTGACTAATCGGAATACGAACAACATTCTGATGATGAGCCGTAACCCAGTTTGGTGCAATTGCTCCACGGTCATAAAAGGCTTGCGCCTGTGCGATGAAATCTCTTTGCTCAGTACTGAGACTTCCAGAGTCAGATGGGGGTGTATCCTCGACGTTGATTTTCCGTGAGAAATTCAATCCAGACCTTTGAGGTCGAGGATGCTCATTGCGGCGCGTCAATGAAGTCGATGCGCTTTCCATACTATAGACGCTATAACCACTAGCACGACGGAGGGCTTTGCTGACTTCTCTCTCCAATGGTTGTCGCAATATAACCGGGTCCGTCCAATGAGGATCATCTCCATATACCGAAGGGTCATCTGCTGGAGAGATTATGACTGTTGGCGTGGCTTGATTCTTTGGTGTAACGAAGGGAAACGAGGGTATATGTAATTGCGTGGCGACGTCTGCTTCAGAGTCATCTACATCGGAATGTGTATCGTTAGTTCTCTGCTGCAAAACTGTTCGAGATACACCTTTAGTTGTTTGAGTGAGATCAAGTAGTTTGTGCGTGTCGCCGTAGGCAGGTTGACCGGTTCCTTGAGATGCACTTGGAGCAATTGTTGGCACGTCAAGAATTGGTATTTCGGGTAAAGTACGAGTTGGTGGCTGACTATTGGTCTCTTCGGCGACCCTAACAACTTTGCGCTGTTTGTGTATATTAAGAGCGGTGGGCAACATTTCTTTTGAATCCAGTTCCATGTTTAGGTTGAATTCGCGAATGTAGTTTTGATGATTTGAATCTTGAGTGGCAATAACTCCTCGTAGAGGGCTTTCCTCATTCATCTCTTCTTCACTATCGGTGTCAGCCCCTCTTCCGCTGGAGTGAAGATAATGATTATATATATTGCCAACAGTGCTAGTAGCTCGACGGAAATCATAGCTGTGTCTCTGAGGAGTCGTCTCGGAAGAACTCTTGCGTATTGGTGATTGAATATCTCCTGGATTTGGTATATACAAAGAATGTCGTGTCGGATTGTAAGGTTTTGTGCGTGTCAGATCACCCAAACTCCCTCCTTCATCACTACTTGACGGTAGCGAGCCCGATGGTGCTTCACCAAGAGGGGAATGATGAATAGAAAAGTCATGACCTTGGCGTTGAATGCTTGATTTGTCTCTGGCATTTCCACCATGACCTGATTGTCGAGCTGCTGGGGCAGATGGATCCTTTTCATCATTTTCCTTGACAAGCTTCATGTAACCTGAGGC